AGGCCAGCCGGGTTCCACTGCGGGAGCAGCCCAGGGGAGAGACGGGCAGGGAGACACGGCCGTGCACGGGCGGGGCGTCGGGGGAGAGCGTGCACGTGTAGACAGGGCTGCCCAGAGCAGTGCTGGGCTGGGTCACCGCTGGGGCTCCTGTGAGGCTGGCGCCTGCCCCAACAGCCCCTCCAAGGGCAGCGAGGTGCCGGACTTGGTCAGCTGCTGCCCGAGGCCGGGACGATGGGTGGCCACAGAGAAGGCTGCAGCTCCGTCCTAACGAAGGCCGTGGGCCCGGGGACAGGGAGGAGCAGCGAGAGCCCTGGGCCAGGGGCCAGGGTCTGCCCGGGCTCGGCACGTGGTCCTGCGGCCCTGCGTGTGGTCTGCCCGGGGCCTGTTTCCTCGTCTGTAACGTGGCCCTTGTGGCTCCCGCCTGCTGCCTGCAGAGTCGCCCGTCAGCTGCGGAGCTTGGCAGTGACGTGGGGGCCCTCACGGGGACGCCATCGCCTCGCGTCCCTGAGCGTCAGCTGCCCCGCGCTCGGACCATGCCTGCTTGTGCATGCGTGTCACGTGCAGTAGAGAGCCACGGACGCGGGGAGTCCCGCGAGGAGACGCGGCCCACGCCGCCGTTCCACTGTCCCTGCGAGAGACGCCCAGGCCACGGACACCCCAGAACCTCCGTCCCCCCATCCGTCCTCCCCAGGCTCTGCCTGCCCCCCAGCCGCTTTCTTCGCTCCTGTGGTCCGCACAACCCCACCCCCGCGGTGGCTGCGCGGGCTTCACGGGTCAGCCGTGCGCCAGGCGCCCCACCACGCCTCGCGCACAGTGGCGTGCAGGAACGCGGCCGGGCCCGGGGCTCAGGGCCACGGGAGGCTCCGGCTTCCCCGGCTGTGACCCAGACGGGCAGAGGAGCGGGTGGGTGTCCATCAGCAATGAGCGGCTCAGTCTCAGCCACACGCAAGAGGATGACAGAACAGGTCCTCCAAGGAGGCTGTGACCTTGGCCATAGGAAGAGTGGGACACACCTGAGGGATGAGCATTCATTACCAAAATCCACTCTGGGAAAAGGATTTGTAGTGTATGTACACAACTCGCTGAAACGTAAAACGAACACAGAAGAGAGCAGAAAGGACAATAAACTTAGGAAAATAAGATGAAGCTACGTCATAGCCCTATACAATTGTTACAGGTGAGGCATAGTCTGTGAGCTCCCTAGCAGCCAAGGCAAAGAGGGATGCAGGGCCAATAACATGGTCCCATGATCCACAGACCTGCTGGAATCTCTTGGAAGTATAGGGTCCCTGATGGGAGCTCAGGCCAGCCTTGCAGCCCCTGGGAAGTCTAGTAAAAGGGACCCTTTCACAACCACAATCTTTATTTGGAGGAAAAGCTGGGAGCTTGGAGTGGGACAATCAGGCAAGGAGGAGACTCTGTGACTGTCCTGAGTGGTTCATCTCTGGCCCCAAACCTGACCCCCAGTCAGCCCCAGTGCCGAGGCCAGATGGCCTGGGTGCAGCTCCAGCTCCGATGCCCACTGTGTCCCGGCCTCAGTGTCCCCATCTGTACAGTGGGCTGACAACAGCCCCCGGTGCAGAGGCTGCTCCCTGTAAGTGGCTCACGCAGCAGCACACGCTCCTCTAGGTGGCCGCTGTCACGCCTGTGTTCCTCACACGTGCCTTCCACGACACCCACACGTCACTCCAGGGCACTGGTGCATGTGACGTCCCCTTCCGCCGCACCTGCTATGCCGTCCAGCCCTGCTCCAGGCAGCCACTGGGCTGGCCCCCCGCACACGCCCTGCACAGGCAGGCGGGACCCGCCAGCGCCCTGGGACCAGCGCTGTGGCCGAGCCCGGCAGATGCCATTTTACACGCCTTCCCGAGTCCACGCCCCTCCCACAGACCCCGGGCCCCTGGCGGCCGCTGCTCTGGCTCAAGTGCTCTTATCGCAGCCGCGTCACCAACAGGCTCCAAGTCCGGCAGGCCTGTGCAGCACAGCTCTTCCTGGTCCTCTTTTTTTTTTTTTTTTGAGACAGAGTCTCACTTTGTTGCCCAGGCTAGAGTGAGTGCCGTGGCGTCAGCCTAGCTCACAGCAACCTCAAACTCCTGGGCTCAAGCAATCCTCCTGCCTCAGCCTCCCGAGTAGCTGGGACTACAGGCATGCACCACCATGCCCAGGCTGGTTTCGAACTCCTGACCTCGAGCCATCCGCCCGCCTCGGCCTCCCAGAGTGCTAGGATTACAGGCGTGAGCCACTGCGCCCAGCTCCTGGTCCTCTTTTAAAAGAAACTTTAACAAGGACTTTTACACCAGGAACGTGTTGCAATCGCAAATTCTATTTAAGTCGCCACACGTATTTACACTAATTATGCAGTTAGCCGTAATTATACTAATTGTTTAAATGTTGACTGAGATATACTTTGAGAGAACAAGGAGAACCCGCCCAGAAAACCTTCCCAAATGCGAAAGGTGCAGCTGAGCCCCAGGCGAGGACGGAGGGTGCTCGTGGGCGCCGTGGGCCGTGCGCAGGGCCCCGCCATGCACACAGTAGGCGCTCAGTCTTTGCAGGAGTGCCGAACTGACCGCCTCTCTTCCGACAGCTGGGCCTGGGCCCACAGAGGAGACGTGGGTGACCGCCTCGTTTGGTGGCTCTTTGACTTTACTGGCTTTTTTGGACATGTCAAAGGACAATCCATCAAGCCCCTCTACTGCTCAAAGGCATCCCATAGCTCCCTAGTACCTAAGGAGTGAAGCGCTTCCTCGGCAGCCTGCATTCAGGTCTTCTAGGACCAGGCGACATCTGTCTTAACCCCACGTCTAGACGTCATCGGCCATCCACGCCACCTGCCGCCCGACGGGACAGCGGACCTTTCTGTGCCGTCCTTCCCACTGCCACGCGATTGCCCGCGCCGTACGCTCCAGCTGAGGGGCCATCCCTCCTGCCTCTCGCACTCTGCTGACGTCCCACCTGCCCCGTCTCTGCTGCCCACACCCTCCTCTGCAAAGCCGTGCCCACACCCTCCTCTGCAAGGCCGTGCCCACACCCTCCTCTGCAAGGCCGTGCCCACACCCTCCTCTGCAAGGCCGTGCCCACACCCTCCTCTGCAAGGCCTTGTGTCACACACTTCTGCTTCTCCTTCCTGCAATGGCCTTCCTGCCCCCACACCCCGCCCCCGCTCTGCATAGTCTTCCTGTGGCCCCACTTGTGTTCTGTAAGGCCTTCCTGTATTCACTTTCTCTGTCTGCAAGGGTCGTCCCCACACCACTCCTCCTGCCAAGGCCCTGCCCACACCCTCCTCTGCAAGGCCGTGCCCACACCCTCCTCTGCAAGGCCGTGCCCACACCCTCCTCTGCAAGGCCGTGCCCAGCCCTTCCGGGGAAACAGGGCTCTTTCCCTCTCCCCTCGCCTCCTGTAGATCTTAATTCGTTATTCTCTGATGACACTTTGTACTGTTTCTTTGAGACACAGTATCACTTGTCTGGGCTAGAGTGCCGTGGCATCAGACTAGCTCACAGCAACCTCCAACTCCTGGGTTCAAGCAATCCTCCTGCCTCAGCCTCCCAAGTAGCTGGGACTACAGGCATGCACCACCATGCCCAGCTAATGTTTTTCTGTATATATTTTTAGTCGGCCAATTAATTTCCTTTCTATCTTTAGTAGAGATGGGGTCTCGCTCTTGCTCAGGCTGGTTTCCAACTCCTGACCTCGAGCGATCCTCCCGCCTCGGCCTCCCAGAGTGCTAGGATGACAGGCGGGAGCCACCGCGCCCGGCCACACTTGGTATTTTTTAACACAAGCCACAGGTGTCTGCAGCCAAGCCAGTCTCTGCCCACAGAAGTGAGTTTCCTGAGGGCGAGGGCCACATCTGCCCGTCCGGGTGTCCCCAGCCCTCAGCCTGGAGCCTGGCAGGGAGCAGCCCCTAAGTTGAGCTTGGTGACACAGGGAGACAGGAGTGGATGGCGACCGGCCTCCTCTGGCCCTGGCGGGCAACGCACAGACAGCGATAGCGTGGAGCCCGGGACCTCTGCAGCCTGCTGGGGACAGGGAGGTCAAGGAGGACAGCCGAGGGGACCACAGCATGAACGAGGAGAGCAAAGGGCACCAGGCGGGAAGGGTCCCAGAGGGGAGGAGGCAGGGCGGGTCCGGGTCATGGGAGGATTTGAGTAGTAACATGCCGGCCGCAGCCCAGAGTCCAGCCCAGAGTGGCCTTGACTCAGCTGCCGCCTCTCACATGTCCCCGGGGCAGGTGGCTGCGAGCCCGCTGAGTATTTGGACGGGTCCACAAAAGCCTGTTTGTCCCTCCTCCTTCGGGGAGAAGATGGTGTTATGTGCAATTTCTAGAAAGTTCTCCAGGCACCGTCAGGAGACATCTGTGCCTGCCGTGCCCCCCAGGCAGCAGCTGACTTGCAACGTGCCCAGGGCCCCGCTCTGGCCACCTCCAGGCAGTCGGAACCGGCCAGGGGCGGAGAGGAGGGGCAGGGGCCACCTTCGGGCCATGTGTTGCCCCAGGAACACCATCCCTCCGGAACTCAGGACGCAGGGGACACAGCCAGGCCCCCGGGATGGTGCGTAGCAGCAGACGGTGCCCTCCCGGCGCCCCCCCAGGAGCTCGTGGAGTCCTGGAATCCTTCCGGCAGGCCTGGGAGGAAGGAGGCCTCCCCGTTCCCATTTTACAGACGGGAAACAGAAGTGAGCTGCCCGCGGTCACAGCGCCGGACACAGTCGGTGCTGGGACTTGGTGGCTCTAGAATCCGTGCGAACCAGGGACTCACGCTGCCGCCCGGCCCACTCCCGGCCTCCCTGGCACGGACCCGCCAAGGCTTGGCTGCCGGGTGAGTCCCGGCCCCAGGAACACCCGCTGCACAGGGCGGCTGTGCCGTGGCCGAGCGGTGGCTGTGGGGACCGTCCCACGGTGGGGCTGTCCCCACTCTGCACAGCGCCATGTCCTCCAGTGGCCCCAGACCCACCACGGCCTGAGCAGGGCCGGGACCCTCCGGCGGGGCCCGCCCTACCTCGGGGTTCTCCTGGGGCGGGGGCCGGTCTTCCTTCTTCTTTTTGGTGGCCTGAGCTCCCTGAGATGGCTCCTCTGTGGGTGGCCGAGACTCCGCCGTGCTCTCGGGCTGCGTCTGCACTTGAGGCTGAATGATGATGACCTGGAAGACATGGGGGAGGGGGAGGGCGGCAATGGCGGGGACGGGGGAGGGGCGGAGGGAAGGGGACAGTGGCAGGGAGGTGGGGGGCGCAGGGCCTGTGACGCCTGGGCCAGGCGTGTCGGAGGAGGGAGGCTGCGCCCACGGCCCGACGCCCCTCCCGCCGCGAGGAGGGTCTGCAGGGGAAGCCGCCCTGCTCTCGGCACCAGGAAGCCCCGGCTCCCAGCCCTGCCCATGGCTGCCACTCAGTGGCCTCGGGAGGTCGCTGTGCCCCAGCCTCCGCCTGCTCACAGCAAAGCCTTGGCAACACCTGTGTCCCGGAGGCCGCTCAGACTCAGGGCCGCAGAGAGCTTGGGCTCCTTCACTCACCCTCAGCACAGGTCAGCTGAGGCCAAGAGGGCGCACGGCAGGGCAGAGGGGCTGCATTGCCACCCAACCCCGAGGCCGCTGGGACTAGACGCTCAAACCCGGCCTGGGCAGGCAGGTGGGGATAAGGCCCTGTTTTTCCCACCGCTGTGCCTGTGGGGTAGGGAAGGGGGGTTGGGCTCCAGGCCCCACCTGTCCTGCCCGGAGCAGCCCCATTCCAGCCAGCTGTCCTTGGGGCGCAGGGGGCATCTGCTCAAAGGGCCTGACACTAAAAATAAGTTCGGAGCCCACCCACCCAGCCCAGGCTCTCCCAGGGACAGCTACCCTAGATCTGCTCTTCTGTTTCATTTTTTTGGACAGAGAACTTGGAAAGAACCGTTATTTTTAATGGATCCAGGGAAGAGGAATTCACCAGGATCCATCAGTCACAGTGTGGCCCAAACCAGGCATTAAGTGAACTTTCCCCCCCTAAAAAGATGGGGTTATTAGGCCAGGTGTGGTGGCTCACGCCTGTAACCCTAGCACTCTGGGAGGCTGAGGCAGGAGCATCGCTCAAAGTCAGGAGTTCGAGACCAGCCTGAGCAAGAATGAGACACCGTCCGTCTCTACTGAAAATTGAAAGAAATAAGCCAGGCAATTAAAAATAGTAAAATTAGTGAGGCATGGTGGCTCACTCCTGTAGTCCCAGCTACTGGGGAGGCTGAGCCAGAAGGACTGCTTGAGCCCAGGAATTTGAGGTTGCTGTGAGCTAGGCTGACGCCACGGCACTCTAGGCCGGGCAACAGAGGGAGACTCTGTCTCCAAAGGAAAAAGCAAAAAAACAACACGTGGTTGCTGTCTTGTGAATTTCAGGCTCTTAAGCACAAAGAGGAAATATATCCCAGTTTTCTTCTGGCTTAAGGGAAGCTCTTCCTTCTTCTTTGTATCCCATTTAAAAAACCCTAACGTCTCTGGAAACAAACCACCCCTTTTTATGTTCATGGAAACAAAAACATTAACATCTGCGATAGAAAAAAGGGCAAAGAGAATCCTCAAAGGAGCCACACATAAGGAGACAGAATTCTTACGCAGTATGGGGAAAACTTTCACCCGTAATAACACCCAGAGGTGTTCCGCTGTGACCGGCAGGGCGTCCGTGTGCACCTGCTCAGGGAGCAAAGTGCTGAAACGCCAACCCTGGGTGCTGCAGTGACACGGGCATGCGCCTCAAACGCCTGCCGAGCACTCCCTGTGGGTCAGGCGCCACCCTACGCTACCCCTGCCACCTGAGCATGCCCCATGGGGACTCCTCAGCCTTTGGGAACCCTTCAAGACGCCAGCACGGGTGGGGGGGCTCGGGAGCCCAACATCCAGAAACACGCCGTGGGCAGTGACGTAAGGTCACGTGACAGCCGGGCACCCAGATCCAGGCTGGGGGAGAGGAAGGCACAGCAGCCAGGAGCAAGAGGGGGTGGCCCGGGGGACCCCCAAATTGGGAACTGAGGAAAAGAGGCCAAAGAGAGGAAACGGGAGTGACCATGTGGACCCAAAGGCCTGCGACCACTGAGGAGCTCAGAGGGAAACCGGGAGAGGGTCTTGGTGTTAGTATTAAGTCTTGGCAAGAAATCACGGGAGGTTCTGCATTCGGGCATCGGGGCTGTAAAAAACGCCCCTCACTGTGCGACTCCACCCATGGAGGAGGGTGACCGATTCTGGTCCCTCTTCCAGGCCCTCGCTTCGTCACACACTTTATTAATTGGTTAATTATTCCAACGACGTGATTCGTTCGCTGACCAGTCACTCCGTAGCCCCCAGCATTCATGCGTCCAGCCACACTTCCTGTCACTCGCAGGTGCCTTCGCCTGTCTGTGCACTGACGCCCTCCCCTGATCGCCTGCTCACACCCCATTCGTGCCTCTGGCCCTGGATCCCCCGCCACCGGCCCCGCATCCTGCCTGGGCCTCGCTAACGGGGCCTCCTGGACCACACGCTCCGACCCCCCCCCCAGCCCGCCGGGCACTCACCTTGTTGTCGGCACTGATGAGGAGGGGCTGGACCTTGATGCTGTCGCTGACCACGGACACGGCGGTGCTGGGCGCCATGGCGGCGGCATTGCTGGGGGAGGTGGAGATGATGGCGTAGGCCACCCCCGCGCCGCTCAGGGGAGGGGCGAGGGCGGCGGGCTCGGCGAGGGCTTGGGGCTGGCCGCCGGGCGCTGGCACATGGCTGACGGTGTTGTTGGCGGTGGGGAGGGCAGGGCTGGGGTTCTTGATGCTGACCACGGTGGCCTTCTGGAAGGCTGGGGGCTGTTTGGGCGGCCGGTCTCGGCCCGGGGTGACAGGGAGGCTGTCTGGAATCAGAGTCTTTGGCCTAACCTGGGAGGAGGGGACAGGCGCAGCGTCAGAGGGACGGGCACGTGCGGGCGGGTGACAGGCATGACGGGGCAGGGCCGGCTCCGGCCAGAGGCAGGACGGACAAGCCCTGGCCCAGAGACGGCCCACGTCCAAGGTGAGGGGATGTCGTGGGAAGGGCCTGGGGCCCCCAAGGCCTCACAGCAGGGAGACCTAGACCTGACCCTCGTCCTGGGCTTGCGCTGACCGGCCACGGGGCGCTAGAGGAGCCGCTCTGGGCCCAAGTGCCTCGGTGCTGCTCAGAGAGCCGGGGGAGGGGCGGGAGGGGGAGGGCAGCACCCCCCAGCAGGAGGGGGGTCCCCGCCCGGGGCTCCTTGCACATCAAGTGTTGAGCAGCAAAGCTCCCTTTGGCCCCAGAAGTCTGCAGAGCGCTGCCCAGGGCAGGGGCCAGGAGGGGCCCGGAGGGGCCACGGGACCCCTGGCTCTGCACAGGTCTGCTTCCTGTTCTGGGTTGGGGGTTGCCGCTGTGTGTCCATGGAAACCACTGAGCTGTGCATGTGTGACTGGCACGTCACATTCTAGCATGTCCACGGAGAAGCAGTGCAAGTGTCCTGCGGTTCAGGCCAGGGCCCTGGGCCGGCTGCCTAGGGCCAACCCCGGCTCCTCTGGGACCTGGGTGGTCTTGGGGACACATCTGAATGTCCCCAGGCCCAGCTCCCTCATCTGTGCCTGGCGTGACGGGCCCCACCTGGGATTGGGAGTAAGTGGGAAAATGCACAGGAGGTACCAGTGTGCCCTGACCAGGGGCTGTCACCGGCATTCCTGCAGATGCTGTCGCCATGGCAGCGTCGACCCTGCACGCTGAGCCAGGGACAGCTCACCCCCAAACGAGGCCACGCCAACCCTGGGAGGTCCACGCAAACACCACCTCCTTAGAGACATGAGACACGGGCTCAGAGGAGGGACATGGTCTGCCTGCTCGCCTTACTTGAGCCCTGCTGCGACCACACGGAGGGTGGGGACGCGGGCCTGGCCCATAGAGGGGCACGCCGAGGCCTGCAGGGGAGGGGCTTACCGGAGAGTGCCGATGCTGCACTTGGGGCAGGGGCACTCGGCCCAGGACCCCTGCAGGCCTATCCGCACTGTTGGCCCCACTCCCCACCCCGTCTCCAGGGACACACGTGGAGGGAGGGGCTTAGCGCGGCTCCCACGGGGCTCTGTGACCTTGGGCAGCTCCCAGAGGCACAGACGCCCTTTGGCCAGGCAGGCTTCCCGTCTGTGAGCTCCTCCGGTGCCTGGCATGGAGCTGGCCCTCCATTCTGGGCCCTTCCCGTCCCCTGTCATAGTGGGCCCTGTCCTCTGGGCATCAGCGGCCTCTCTCTCCGTGGCTGGGCGAGGTGGCCGCCATGGTCCAGCTGAGCCTGCAGCTGTGTCCTGGGCACCAGTGGTCAGGGCCTGTGGCCCCTGCCACCAGGCCCCTAGCCCCACACCAACGCTGCCGCCCAGCGTGGAAAACGCGGACGGGATCCCCTGCGCCCTGCCGGCCGCTGGCTGCAGCAGTCGCTGGCTGGGGGACTGCTGTCCGTGTCTCTGCAGAGGGTGGCATGGGGTATACGGCTGCCTGTGCGGTCAGCGAGGACCTCAGCCGTGGTGACGGCCATTCTGCGTCCTGCGGCGCCTCCCTGGTCATTTGGGGTTTGCCCACATGTCCTGGTTGACCCCGGCCACTAACCCTAGCAAGCACACTCTGAGCGAGGGGGAGCTGGCCCGAATCGCAGATGCTGGACACTGAAGATAACCTTAGTCAGGGGCTTGGGGTTTGGCCCAAATGTGTGGGCTTCCAGCCCAGAGAACACATTTGGGGATCCTGGGGCTCATGGCCTTTCTACCTCTCTACCTGAGGATGGTGCAGCCCTGGGCCAAGAGGCCTCTGGGGTCGTCCCTACCTCTCTCCCGCTTCTGGGTCTGTGGCGGCCACCCTCAGGCCGGCTCCCGTCACAGGCTGCCTGTTCTGCTCCCTTGAGCGTCCCGTGACAGCCACAGCCGGCAGCCGGACCGGGCGAGCACTGGGCACCTTTTGGCCTGAGCTGACCGGGCTGGAGGCCAGCAAGCTGGTGGGGAGGGGACAGCCAGGGAGACACATGGAGATGGTAGCCCATAGGCAGCAGGGTGAGAGGAAGGCTGGGGGCACAGTGCAGAGCCCCTCCCTGACACCCTCCCTCGCTCAGAAGCCTTGCATAGCTCCCTGCTGCCCACTGATGGGGGGAGCCTGACTCCCAGGCCCCCAAAGGCCCCCACTGGCCTCTCCACCTCGCTGCTTGCTCCGGCTGCCCCTGCCAGCCCTGCAACTCGGGCCTCGCCACCAGCCCTGCCTGTTTCTCACCTTGTGCCCTCCCCCTGCTGCGCTCTCCTGGGGCCTGCCTCCACCTTGGCCTTCAGTACCCTCCCACCTGAGGCCAGGTTCAAGCACCACCTCCTCCAGGAAGCCCACCGTGGCCCCCGGGCGGGTAACAGGGCTCCCACCAGCCCTGTGAATCCTCCTGACTCAGCCCCATCACCCTGGATTCACAGCATCTGTTTCTCTGTCCACCGTCCCTCCAGACCCTGAGCCTCGCAGGGGCAGGATTCGGCACAGGTGGGACGTGGGCAAAGCTGCCGCACGGAGGAGCCCAGGGCAGCCGCCTCTCCCCGCCCTTGAGCTGGGGGGCTGTGTCCAGCCCTGACGCCTCGGGACAGGAGGGGCCGTCTCTGCCACTGCAGCTGGCAGCCCCTGGCCAGGAACAGTGTATACAGCAGGTGCTCGGCAAAGCTGAGCTAGTGATAATAAGGGCACTGGTTAATAACCGCCAGGCGTTTGCTCTGCACCAGGCCACGCACGGATGAAGCAGGCACCTGCGTTAGCCCTTCTGCGGTGACTGGTCCCAAGCGCGGTGCGCAGTCGGGGGACCCCGGTCTAGGGCCCCAGGCTCCTGGCCCAGTGTCTGTGCCGCTGCTCCTAAAACGAATCCCCTTGTTCAGGGCTCCTCAAACTTCTCTGACCATGACTCAGAGTTAAGAACACGCTACCGGTGACCCCGTACAGAAACAGACTGTTCAGGAAACAATGCTCATGGATGCACCTTGGTATTTCCATTCTCTTTCAGTCTAGCCTGGTTTATTCCATTAAGAAAAAAAATTCTGGTCATGACCCACCGAACTGACTTCCCGATTCCTCACTGGAAAACCAGACCTGGTCCAAACGTCCCCAGTGAAGAACGGGCAGAGGCGGCGGGAGGGGAAGGCATTGCCAGGAGGGGCAGAGGGTGTGCGGGTCCCACCCAGCTCAGCGCCTGCCCCAAACCTCAGTGCGGAGGGGCCGGGGACAGAGACCAGGGGGACAGACAGGTGGACGCCCAGGCCCCGCCCGAAGGCTGCTTACCTGAGGTAGCACTGCCGCTCCTTGCCCGGCCAACCTCTGCAAGGAGCTGACCTGAGGACCCGTGACAGGCACTGCAGTGATGGCTCCCAAAGCCTGCAAGACAGAGGGCGCTGAGACGGCCGGCCCCAGCCTGGCCGGCAGGGGCGGCAGCGGACACAGCCAACTCTACTCTTCCCTTTCTTACTTACGGTTTTTAAAAATTCACCAAAGTAATTTACATTCATTCAAGAAATTTTGGAAACTAGAGTGGGAAAAATAAAAAAAAATAGCATTGCCCAGAAAAGAATCACAAATTTGTTGTACGTCAGCTTCCTTTTTTAAGTCAATTTTTTACAGGGCTTATCCACAGAATTTTGCGGCCTGTGTTTCCTACTTCCGCGTGAGGACGCGTGGGATTTCCCGACGTCACTGCGATCTTCAGGAATCGCTCCTCTCCCGGCTGTGGCGTCCCCCACCTGGCAGGCCTGAGGGCATTTCCTGCGCTAAGCTCTTCCTCCTGGAAACTCGGGCTCTAGCCCCATCCTTTCCCAGTCCCTGCGGAGCTGAACGTCTTTGTGGACATTTCCAAAGCGCAGAGCATCCCCACAGGAAGAGTCTGGCAGATCCATGGGTCAAAACGTAGGAACATTTTTCAGGCCCTTGACACACGTCTCCACTGGACCTGTGGCCCCGACATGCGCCCCGAGCCCCAGCCCCCACACCAGCAGCAGGGGGGCGTTGGGGAGGGGAGAAGAGCTGACTCCCTTCAGGGACCCCAGGCACAAGCACAGGAGGGTGTGTTTTGGGGTGCCTGCTTGCCTAAGCCTTCTTCTGTGGGAACCACCACCATTGCAGCCCTGATGAAGGGGCAGTTCTGCACGGCCACGTGTGTGCCCCACAAGCCCGCCTAATGTGCAGAGAGGCACCCCTCACCCAGGTCCAGCCAAACCATCACTGGCCAGCAACCAGCAAGGTTCTCTCTAGAACTCAGATGTAAAACTTCTTAACAGAATGTTAGCAGACCAATTCCAACAGTAAGGAAAAGGACGGTATTGTCATGAATGAGCTGTTTGCACCGCCATAACACACAGAAAAAAACCACACGCTGATCTCAATCGATGCAAAAAAAAAAAAAAAAGCTGTTGGAACAAATAAGTTTAGCAAGGTTGCAGGATAAAAGAACGATACATAAAAAGCAACTGTATTTCTATACACTAGCCACCAACACTCAGAAATCTGAAAAAATGTAAAATGCCATTTGCAATAGCATCAAGAAATACAAGTAAGAAATACTCAGGAATATATCTGACAATAGCTGTGTCAAATTTGTAGGCTGCAAACTCTGAAATACTGCTGAGGGAAATTTAAAAAGACTTAAGTAGAGAAAGAGATATACTATAACCATGGACCAGAAGCTTCAATATTGTTAAGATTTCAATTCTCCCCAAATTTATCTACAGACCTAATACAATGTCTATCAAAATCTCAGTGGGCTTTTTAAAAAATAGAAATTGACAAGATGATTTTAAAATGCATATGGAATTATAAGGGTCCTAGAATAACCAAAATAACTGTGCAACAAATAAAAACCACCACCAAAGGGAAGGACTTGTACAACTTAACTCCAATCAAGTGACCTGTCTCTATGACTTATCATAAAGCTATGGTTGCGAGGCAGCGTGGTATTGGTGTTAAGATGCACAAACAGATCAATGGATCAGAATGAAGAGTCCAAAGAAGACTCACACGTGGATGGTCAACTGATTTTTAGCAAAGGCTGAAAAAGCACTCAATTTAGTGGAAAAGGATAATCTTTTCATAAATGGTGTTAACACAAGGAAATACCCACGTACTAAAAACAAAAGAGAACTTCGATCCATACCTCGTATCATATAATTTTTAAAAAATAGACAACTCACTTCGGGTCAGGCAAAGAGAGCCTTAGACGGAACACCAAAAGCAAAGCCACACAGCAACAAATGAATAAACTTGAGCTTCAACAAAATAAAAAACTCTTGAAGTTAGACAGTGTCAGCAGAAAACAAAAACTAGCCACACGCTGGGAAAAAACACACGCAAATCATCTGGCGAAAGACTTGTACCCGGAACATATGAAAGACCTCTCAAAACTCAATAATCTGAAAACAAACAACCCGATTTAAAAAACACACAAAATATCTGAACCGATACTTCACTGAAGAAGATCTGCTGAAGGGAAATAAGCAAATAAAAAGATGCTAAACCTAATCAGTTATTAAGGAAATGCACGTTAAAACGCCAACAAGACACAACCTCACGCCTGTTTCGACAGCCGAAGTTAAAGGCTGACGGAAGCCAGCCAGCACTGGGAGGAGGCAGAGCAACTGGGCCGCTCATCCGCTGCTCCGGCAGACGGAAAACGGTGCGATCACTTTGGAAGACGGTTTGGCAGCTTCTTACAAAGTTAAGCGTACACTTACTGCTATGGATCGAGCGTTTGTGTCCCCTCTCCCCTAAATTCACATGTTGAAACCCTAACCCTCAACGTGACGGTGTTTGGAGATGGTGCTTTTGGGAGGTGAGCAGGTCAAGAGGGAGGAGCCCTCGTTTAGCGCTCTTGTAAGAAGACACACGAGACAGTCTGCTCCACCGTGCAAGAGAGCAGACACGACAAGAAGGCTGCCACCTGCAAACCCGGCAGAGAGCCCTGCTCAGGAACTGAACCAGCCTTGACCTTGGACTTCACAGCCTTCAGAACTGAGAGACATTCATTTCTGTTGCTCCAGTCCGTGGTATTTTTGTGGTAGCCGCCCAAGCAGACTGAGGCATTTACCGGAAGATCCAGACGTTTTTATCCCCAGGCATTACCCAGGAGAAACGAAAGCAGATGTTCAGGCAGAACCCTGTCAATGAATGTTCTAGCAGCTCTCCTTGGTACAGCCTCAGCTGGGGGCAGCCTGTTGTTCACCAGCAGGCGCGTGGATGAGCAAACCGTGGTGCATCCACACAACAGACCACTGCTCAGCGACACAAAGGAACAAACTACTGACACACACAACGCGGATGAATCACAAATAACGCTGCAGAATGAAGCAAGCCAGATGCAAAAGAGGCACATATTGCACGAGGCCGGTTACATAAAATTCTGAAAAATGCGAACCAAAGTGACAGCAAATAGATCAGAGGTTTCGTGGAGGTGGGTGGGGGGTGGGAGAAAGGGATCACAAAAGGTCACGAGGACAGTTTTAGGATGAAGGATGTCTTCGCTCTCTCGATTGTCGGGACGGTTTCACACGTATCAAACTTACTCCATACAGCCTAAATAGGTGCGAGTTTATTGCATGTCAACGATATCTCCACAAATCTGCTATTTCTCCTCTTATCCAGCGTCTCGTCACCCCTAGAATGAATATCATCCACCCCAAATGACACAGCAGGGGTCTCAGGCCCCACACGCCACGGAGCCACTTCTCCTACGACGGGTGGCTCCTGCCCCCGCTCTGCCGGCGGCCCGCGTGGTCAAACCCTGAGAGGCCCGTGTCCTTCCCGCCAGCTGCCTGCCTCTCTGCGCAGGGCCCAAACACCGACGTTTAACTGGAAACTCGCGCTGGACATTTGTCGGGAAGAGCTTCCCAGGCAAGGCAGAGACAGTAAGGACGGACTCCGTCGCCTTACGAGGCAGCGTCTCGGTCCGCCATGCTGCTCCCTGCTCCCCGCCCGCGTGGCTTGCCGGGCGGCACTGAAGTCCCACCTGGAGCACGGCCCAGCGCCTGCTCACCCACGTGCCCACGCTCCTCCCCGTTACCGCGGGCTCCGCCCCCACGGTGCCCCCCCACTTCCACGGAGCGATGGGTGCAGAAGGCTCTGACCTCCCCGGACCCCGGCCTGCCGGCTGATGCCTCTACCCAGCTGGTCAACCGTCAGACCCCCAGGCCCCGACCCAGAACGCAGAGGTTCCAGGTGATTCTACCAACCTGGGGACCGCGGGCCCCGAGGAACCCGCCTCCTCCCTGCAGGTCCTGCCATGGAAGGCCCACGGGGGCACTTCGCTCGGGCGGTTTCCTGCAGTGGGGTCCCCATCGGTGGGTGCCGAGAGCGGGGCTATGGGGCCCCCGGGAGCAGGCTGGCCTGCAGGGGTGGGGCCGGCCAGCAGACCCCACGGGAGCCAGAGAACGGGCACTACCCTGCTTCCCTGGGGCTTCCCGTTGGGCCAAGACGCCCCAAACAGGCCCGTCTGGACGTGGCGGCACAGCCTGCAAGGCCCAGGTGGCCCTTCCAGACACGGCGGGCACATGCGGTCTGCATGTTTCCAAGTCCATGTGTCTCCTTGCGTGTGCCAAGCTGCTCCTGTGGGTGGTCCCGGCTGGGTTGAGGGTCTCTGTGCATCTGTATCTGGAGTTACCGTGACTCAGTTTCTCTGGGGTCTGTCCACTTGGTGCACACGTCTCTATTTCCACACGCATTCTCCTTCTCTGGAAACTTCTTCAGCTCTGTGCCCCTGGTTCCCAGCCTTCATCTCTGGTCATCTCCCTCCTGACTTGGGACCCTGGCGAGTCCTGTCCATGCATTTCAAGAATTCGCACTCAGGGAGGGACAGGAGCAGAGAGCCCAGGGAGGAGGCCGGAGACACAGCCGGAGCAGGCAGGGGAGAGGGGCAGGGAGGGCCCCGCCCCACCTGTGCTGGCGACTCAGTCCCCACGAGGGAAACACCACCCGCTGGAGAAGTACCATCCAGAACAACGGCCCCCCCGGGAGTTCTCAGAATAACCATGCCCGGCTTCCGACTCCACCCCAACCCTCCAGCCGGCGTGTGCGCCGCTGCCTGGGACTTGGGTGCCCTCAAGCACGGGGTCCCCCTGAGCCGGGCAGGCAGGAGGAACAGGCTCTGCACCCCGAGCCCACAGCCCCAGCATCAAAGACGAGACAATTCGCAGTCAGAGCCCAAAGTCCCCACGCGCTGGGGAGGAGTTTGCTACATTCGGGGCTGAGCAGGGCTTTCCCCAAGAACACCAAGGCCACCTTCCGCCAACTGTCCATCTGCCGATGCCACGCCGGCTGCTCCGATCCCCATTCGTCTCTCTGCGCTCCAAGGCCTGCCCAGGAGCACATGCTTCCTCTTCCTCACGACGCTCATC